TTTTTTGGTGTTAGTCCTAGGAGGTGTTGTAGGTCTTCATAGAACCGGTCCACTTCAGCCTCTTCTGCATCAGTGGTTGGGGCATAGACTTGGATTACTGTGATGTTGAATGGTTTGCCTTGGAATCGGACAGAAATCATTCTGTCATTTTTGAGATTGTATCCCAGTACTGCCTTTTGCACTCTCTTGTTGACTATAAAGGCCACACCATTTTTTCTACGAGATTCCTGGCCACAGTAGTAGATATAATGGTCTTCTGAGTTAAATTCGCCCATTCCTGTCCACTTTAGTTCACTGATTCCTAGGATATCGATGTTCAGTCTTGCCATCTCATTTTTGACCACGTCAAGCTTACCTTGATTCATAGATCTTACATTCCAGGTTCCTATGCAGTATTGTTCTCTGCAGCATCGGACTTTCCTTTCACCATCAGACACATCCACAACTGAGCGTCCTTTCGGCTTTGGCCCAGCCGCTTCACTCTTTCTGGGGTTACTTGTACTTGTCCTCTGCTCTTCCTCAGTAGCATATTGGACACCTTCCGACCTGAGGGGCTCATCTTCCGGCGTCATATCTTTTAGCCTTTTGATACTGTCCATGGGGTTTTCTTGGCAAACATACTGGAGTGGGTTGCCATTTCCTGTCGTACGTGACTACAACTAGATCTGCAATGGGGGCTGTCTCTTCTCAAAGCTGTTGTTTCTTACTGCTCACAATAATGGAGGTGTGTGCTTCTTCACCAGGCTGGTAACTGTGTAGCTTAAACCTTATTCACGTGTAAGGTTTGTGCAGGCACCTTCTATGTGTTGCATCACAACAGGTGACTTGAAATGTACAGTTCTCTGAGCCTATTTGTGTGTGTGCACAGTTCATCGTGTATAGCAATAAATATAGTCCATAAAGCAAAATATCGAGTTCATTCTCTAACAAGCCTTATATGCTTTATGGAGGAGAGGAGAACAATGTAAGCCACTCTGTGTCCCCACTAAGGAGGGGGGGGAGTTAATGAGCAGTAGGCTCAGAACAGATAAAAGGAAGTCCTTTTTCACCCAAAGAGTCATTAACATGTGGAATTTACTGCCACAGGAAGTGGCGGTGGCTACAAGCACAGACAGCTTCAAGAGGGGACTGGATATACATCTGGAGCAGAGGTCCATCAGTGGCTATTAGCCACAAGGTATAGATGGAACACTCTGTCTGGGGCAAGGGATGCTCTCTATTCTTGGTGCTTGTCGGGGGCAACAATGGGAGGGCTTCTGGAGTTCTGGCCCCGCTGGTGGACCCCCTGATGCACCTGGAATTTGGCCACTGTGTAACACAGAGAGTTGGACTGGATGGGCCACTGGCCTGATCCAACATGGTTTCTTTCTATATTCTTAAAGCCCGGGTATAAATGAAGCAAATAAACACTAAGTAAATACTATGTGCTTGAAGAGAGGTCTGAAGTCTGAACACACAGTTTGTGCCATCCCGAACACAAAGTGGTAGTTAATGTTTGTGAGACTGTCAGACAAACAAGATACTCTGAATGGCACAGTGTCAGGAACAGCATGCGCTGGATTCCACAAGCGGTCCATTTACACAAGAGGGCGGTAGCTAACCAGGCCTGTAACTACCGCAGGGCCCATGGGGCTCGGCCCCCTAGCGGTTTTCATGGGCCCTCCCCAAGCCTTGGCTCCCCCCCCAGGCCCCCTTCCCCCATTGCCTGTCAGCAGGGTAGATGAGGGCAGCATAAACCACAGCAGCAGCCAAGCTGAGCTGAGAGAGCGACTGAGGCAGGCAGTGAACATGAAAGGTGCAGGGAGAAGCCTCCATCTCGGGCTTCCACGAGACGCTCGCTGCAGCGCCCTTCAGCAGCAAGTAAGCCAGGCCAGGCAAGGAGGCAGGCAGCCGCCTCCTCTGGCCCCAGCCAGAGCAACAAATATGTGCCACCGCGGAAGGAGGAACTGGGGCTCCTCAGGGAGGGAGGGAGGGAGCCAGACGCTCTGCAGGAAAGACTTGCCCTTGCGGGAGGGAGAGAGAAGCTGTGACTACTGGGCATTATGCCGCCTTGCCCTGGAGCCTGCAAGTGTGTGCAGGGCTGCCTTAGGAGTCCTCGGGAATTCCACCAATTAAATCAAAGTTAATTTAATTAATTTTAATTGGCTGGTGTGCCCTCCCAAGGCCCCCTCCCCACCAAGTCCCTAGCTACCGGGCTGATTCTATCCCTACGAGTCACTCGGCATGTCCTCCACAAGGATCACTTGATGGCCAGCACTAGGTTTTTGGGAGTCACAGGGGGTGTGGGAAGAGAAAGGCAGGGAAAAGTCTACATCCAGAAGCAGAATATCTGTTGTATCTGTCCCCATGAAAACAATGCCATCTCTTCTGTTCAACAAATCATCACTTACTTGAACCGTTCACACCATCTTACCATTTTCTTATCTGAGGAAAATCCCACAGCCACCCAGCCATCTGTTTCGGCGCTCAGTTCAAACTCTATATCAGCTCCTATTCTGCGATAACTGAGGAAGTAGTCACAAGTTTCTGCATTACATCCTGGTTTACCATACCTACAGGTGACAAAGGGAGGTAAAATTCAGAGATATAAAGAGAGCTTTCTTGTTGAACTCATCTATGCTTCTAATCCAACTGAAAAGGTTGCTGATGATAAACTTAAACAAATCCCACCGAAATCCACAGTTCTAACTGCTAGTGTGATAAGAAAGAGTGAGTAACATCTGGAATTCACTGCCACAGGAAGTGGTGGTGGCTACAAGCATGGACGGCTTCAAGAGGGCCTGTGAGGTATCTTCCTCACTCTGGTAAAGGGGACCTATATGACTTCTGTCATCTCCTTACCTTTTACCTCAGGAGCCCAAACCTTTCCTGCCAGATATAAAAGAATGGCACTGATAGCGTGGTTTTAAATAAAATAAGAAGATTTATTCTTTATTAAAAAAAGGTAGGGAAATGGGGAAATGGTTTTCAAAACACCTGGCAACCAGCCAGTGTCTACTATGAACTCTATTAACACTGCTGCAGGCTTCTTAAAAGTCAGGCAGAGATAATAAGAACAATAAACCCTCTAAGATATTTCTTTAGAACAGGCAGGCAGTTGTAATGTTACATATCATATGCAATGTGATGTCTAACTCAAGGCTCCCCAGTTGTGCTGGAGATCTGTCTGTCCCTAAGACTTTCCCCTGGATGATAGAACTCCAGTCCTTCCCTGTGTGTGTGCTGGTGTTTCTCTTTTAAACATAGGTCTGCCCTTTGGACTCTGGCAAAACCTCTCCACAGAGTCTGATCTGTCCCTCTACTCTGTGACACCTGTCACTGTGCCACAGGCTGAGAGGTTTCCCTCAGAAGGAAGCCACCCAAAAGCCCCTTCTCAATAACTCCTTCCAACTGTCTCTCTCGCTTCCAACTGCCCCCCAACCGACTCCTCTTTTTCCTTCCTGGATGCATTCCGTTGTCATGGAAGCAGCTCACCAATCAGAGAGAGCCTCTCCCAATGCCTACACTCAGACCAGTTTTACTTAGTTCATCACAAGGGAATTGGATAAGCATATGGAGCAGAGGTCCACCAGTGGCTGTTAGCCACAAGGTATAGATAGGGACTCTCGGTCTGGAGCAAGAGATGCTCTGTATTCTTGGTGCTTGGGGGGGCAACAGTGGGAGGGCTACTAGTGTCCGGCCTAGGCTTGCCAAGTCCCCCCAGGGGGCGGGGAAACCCCCACCCCAGAGGCCCGTTCCCCGGCGCCGGCGGATCAGGCCCCGGGGGAACCCCACCCCCAAAGCACATGACGTGCACGTCACCCGTAAGTGACACGACCACGCCGGGCATGCTGGGGGCGGGGCCACGGTCATTCGAGGGAAAACTCAGAGCTGCTAGTTATACATGTCCAATTGATGGGTAAAACTTTTGACCAATAGACCATATGCGTTTCGGCCCCTTCGGGCCTTCCTCAGCGGTCAATATTCCTATTGTACAATAACACACATCCAGAAATGAATGTATAAACAATTTTTCTTAGAACCAGGTGTTGCTTTCTCATATGCTTTGCAGTTGCTAAAAGTTTGTATAATAGGCCATGGATAGTAACTGCACAGATTCTCCAAATTATTCTGGTAATGAATATCCAATGTGTCAGGATTTGTGTCACTTCCATCAACAGTAGTAGTCTAAGAAAAATTGTACGGTCTATTAGTAAAACTTTTTACCCATCAATTGGACATGTATAACTAGCAGCTCTAAATGTTATAACCTTTAAGAGTCTGATATTTGGACTATTTCTTTTAACCTTATGTATGTTTTATTTATACATTAGAGAAATATATTCAAGTTATGATAGTCATAACAAGATATATTATTTACTGAGACAGGCTATGATATAATAAATATGACTTCAGGATACCTGATTTTTTTTCCTATTGGTACTATGATACCTACTGCCTGATCCTATAAATTTTTACTTAGAAGTAAATCCATAGAGTTTAATGGGACTCATTCCCAAACAATTAGAAGTGCAATCTTATTGTGAATCACAATACAATATACACATTTATTGCCACTCCTTGCATTTTTTCTTTAAAAATACAAATGTCTTATGCTTCTGCAAGATAATGACAAAGTTTGCACATTCTTTCTATGTCATTGTAATAAAACCCTCTTTACTACTTCAGTGTTCAATATTCAGCTTTCATCTTATTTTCCCTCTTTCTCTAACAAGCAAATACTAAAATACACCTAAATATCTAGCAGTACAACCCAAAATGTAGTTATGCCCTTCTAAATTCACTGAAATTAAGAGGCTTGGGTGTAATTCTAAGATTGCGCTGTTATGATGCAACAGCTTCAAGCTCCATCTGCAATGCTGGAAAACCCGGAATTATTGTATTTTTAAAAATCAAGTAGTTATCATTCTGTCTAAAAGTACATTAGCTGGCCCCCACACAGATGATGAAACCAGCAAAACTGACCTGCTACCCACAGACAAGGCAGGCATCTCTGCCTCACTGAGGAGACTCCCAAGGCATGAAATAATATGACTTTGCAAATTAAATATGAAGAAAACTAAACAAATGGGGTGGGGGTTGGGGATAACAACTAAATATATTCCAGGAGAAATTAGAATTGGAAGTAGCAGAAAGTCATGTGTGGGGGAGGGGATTATCCTGCGTCAACCTCTGATAGTTCATACAATCCTAGTGTGTTGGGGTGGAGGCAGGTAGTATTTCCAGAATGTCCCCAAATGATTCCTATACCAAACAATAATGATTATAAGTGTTATACATGAAAAGTTTGGTGTTCTTGAAGTAATAAAGCAAGTTTAAAGAGAATACTGCAAATCTTTCCATTTCCCCCCCCCAAAAAAAAGTGTAAGTTTTGTCTGGAAAAAAAAATGTTTTCCAATGATTTCAACATTTTAAGAAGCTTACTTCTCTAGTACTACATAATGTACACAATATTCCGGCCCTGATTATTTTGGTAGGCTTCCTGCAGGTGTGTCTAGCTTTTTGTGGATTTTGCTGGTTGCATTTTGGTCAATTCCTGCACATATCTAACTTTCTAAACGTACATTTTATTATTTTCTGAAGGAGTGAATAACTGGTACCTCTAATTATAATAATCTACGATAAACAAGAAGTGTCACTCTATTACCAACTTCTCTGAAGTCACTTATTTGGGGCAGCCTTTTCACCACTGCAACATGCATAACAAAATTGGTTTTAGTTCTGCAGATCTCTTGTAAGCAAGAATTCTGCAGTAGAAGGTACATCTCCTCCAGTAAAATTTCAAGCCACTGAGCTCTGGATAGCAGTACAATGAGCATAAATATATACAAATGGGAAACACTTAATAAAACAATTAATGGGTAGTCCCTGCTAGTGTGTCAGTCTATTGGCATTACAAATTTACACAGAGACCTGTGCTATCTTTTCATACCAACCTAAAGCATCCTTTTGTTTTCCCACAGTCATCCACTCTAATTTTTGCAAATGGGTCCACTGGAGGTGCGGTAGGGAATGGATAACCTTGAAAAAAAATTAAGCAATGTGACACAATATTTCCATTTATTACAAAATAACTTTTTAATGATGTTAGAGGCTACCTTGTTTGGGAATCGAATCAGTACAGGGTCATGCATATTAAAGCTAACAAGGAATTCTTATTTTCCCGTAGGATCACCTTGATAGAAGATAATGTTCAGAAGCTGAGACTTACAACGGCACACAAGAAACCCTGACCAAACTCCAGACATCTCTGGAGAAGACAACTGACCTTACAAAAAAGCCTACAAAAGTCACTAATCTACAAAAATGCCTGCTACGCACAAACATCAGTATGAGCCATTTATAAACACATTCCATACTGTTGATTGTACTGACTCACTCTGGGTAGCCCACCCTGAGAGACCCAGTGAGAAAGGCAGACCCTAATGAATGTAAATGAATAAATCTACAAAACTTTTCCTGCCCAATCATTGAAAGCAATATGACTCATTGAAGGCGAGCAGATGAGTGGTTATTTACACATCTGAACGGGATGTTCAAAGGCATGACAAATCAGTGTTGCAGTGTCCACCTTACACATTCTTCAGATGCAGGTGTGCCATTTGAGGTGGCACTGGTGATGATGTCATCCACCAGTGTCACAGAACAGCGGGGACAGAGGAAAGGGACTTGGCCGTCAGCGACCAAGCCCCTCAGGATCTAGACAGCCAGAACAGAAAGAAGGATGATGATGATGATGATGAAGAAGAAGAGATTGGATTTATACCCTGCCCTTCACTCCCCAAAGGTGTCTCAGAGTGGCTTATAGACCCCTTCCCCTCCCCACAACAGACACCCTGTGAAGGAGGTGGGGCTGAGAAAGGAAGGAAGGAAGGAAGGAAGGAAGGAAGGAAGGAAGGAAGGGAGGGAGGGAAAGAAAGAGGAGGAGAAGGAGTAGGGGGCGGGGCTTGTTGCATGTGCCCGCCCCTTGGACTCTTTACTGCCGGAGCTCTGATCCTGTGCGCTCCTGCAGGAAATGACCCCTGCCTTGGATAGGTAAAGGTAAAGGTTCCCTTGGTCGAAAGCCAGTCGAATCCGACTCTAGGGTTTCGGTGCTTATCTCGGCTTCAAAGCCGAAGAGCCAGCGCTGTCTGAAGACGTTTCCGTGGTCATGTGGCGCACGGAACGCTGTTCCCTTCCCACCGAAGTGGTACCTATTGATCTACTTGCAATTTCTTGCTTTCGAACTGCTAGGTTGGCAGGAGCTGGAACTAGAGACAGGAGCTCACTCCATCATGCGGCACCTGGGTCTCGAACTGCTGAACTACTGACCTTCCACAGCCTGCACTTCAGCGTCTTAACCACTTGAGCCACCGCAGCTCCCTTGCCTTGGATACCATTTAGCAATAGGCAGCCATCTTTAGGTTCTCCCACCACTTAGGGTGGCCCATCTGGCATTAAAAGGCCGGGCCTTTCCTTCATGGCTCCGGCTCTGTGGAATGGGTTCCCCAAAGAGGTGAGGGGGAAACCCTCCTTGGAGATCTTGGCCTACCTGTTTGCCAGGGCTTTGGAGGGGGTGTGAATGGCAGACATCTTTCAAGGAGGGGGGGGGATTAGCAATCTGTGATATACTATTATAGTTTTGGTTGTAACAGAAAATGTTTTTAAATAGTATTGTAAGCCACCTTGAACCACAAGAAAAGGCGGGACATAAATGTTTTAATAAATATTAAGTGAATAAAAATAATGTATCTGTGTTAAGCAATTTGCCCAATTTTAAAAAACCCTCTCCTGTGTAAAATGAAACAGAATGAAAACAATGTTCCACGCTAACTCTACGTCACCCTCCCCAGTCGCGGCTGTCCTCACCAGGCTTCATGGGCTCCCGGCCAACCTCCCGCCTCCATCCTTGGTGTTGGGCCTGGCACAACTCCCTGCCTCTGGCACTGGGCCCACCATGGCTTCCCCTCCCCATTTCTTGCTGCCATTGCCAGGGCTGCCGGCCACCCTCCTCATTGGCGTCAGGCCTGGCGCAGCTCCTGGCAGCCCACGGCCAAGCCTGCCAGAGCGCCTCCCTCCCAATCACCTCTGCTCCCGGTCACCCCACCATCCCCACCGCCCTCACTGCCGGGAGGTGCATGGTCTGCACATGAACAGACAACGCTTTTGTTTGGGAGGGGGATTTAAACCCCCAAATGGTTTTTTTTATTATTATTTTTCTGTAAACTTGGGGGGTCCCCCACGTTTGGAGACAAATTTCCTTTCTGTCATTGTGGGTCCGGTCTGCAAATTTAGATACCCACCTGTAGCTATTAGATACATGGGTGGGAAAGTGAAGCTTTTCATGGAATGGGAGGTAAATAACATCACCTAACAAATCATACTCTTTTTTATGAAAGGGGTGGGACTTTCTTCTCCAGGCCAGTTGGCAACCCCAGAAACAAACCCTCCCAAATGGCTTTTCTGTTAAAGAAAAGAATAGTTGAGGGGTTTTTTAGTGCATGGGCTTGTAACACGTAATTTGATCCTAAGTGATCAGCTGGAATTGCTCTAATCCTAAAAAGCAACCACTGCTGTTATCGCTTGCGACGGACATTGCTGGCCTGATTTAAACGAGGTGGCCGAGAGGCAGAGAGCTTCCGGGGAGAACTGGCAGCGTCTCTTGAGCACTGTGCTGCACTTGTGCAAAGCAGCTGCATGGGCTCAGTTGCCATGCCAGCTGGATTTCAAGAAGGGAGTGCCGATTAAGTGCGCAGTTTACATGTGATGCCGAGCCCATGCTGACTTGCACAGGCCTTGCCCCCAGCAGCATCCTGTTTAAATCAGACCCCAGATGTGACTTTTGAAGCATTTGCCCCGATTGTGACTCTGTGAAATGTTTTCTAGTGCTTTACGATTGGTGACTGTGGTCATACCAGCTTTCTGTATAATTTTCATAATCGCTGTTATATATTATTAAATGTTTAGCACTACCAGGGCGCAGAGTGTTGTACAGAACAGAGAAATGGGTTTACAAGGCAGATTATAAAATGCTGCATTCTATCTTTAAAGGAATGGTATCCAAAAGAGATTATCATGAGAGAAACTAATTTCTTTTTTAAGAAACTGCTTTTGAAGATTGCATATACTGAAACAGCAAAGTAAAGGTTTTTTGGGGCGCCATCTTGAAGGTTTGTTAGGGCGCCATCTAACACTTAACTTTTAACTGTAAGGTTTGGTTTTAAATTGTGATGAAGATCTACTATATTTTGTTGTATTTGATTGTTGGAAATGGCCAGAGCCCTGCCTGGTGGGGAAAGGAGCAGGATAAAAATAGAATAAAATGGAGTAAATGAATAAAATAATAGTGCAATTCTAAGAACAAATTTGAGTCCAGTGCCGCTTTTAAGACCAACAAAGTTTCATTCTGGGTATAAGCTTTCGTGTGCATGAATAAAACTTGGTTGGTCTAACAGGTGCCACTGGACTCAAACTTTGTTCTGCCGCTTCAGACCAACACAGCTACCCACCTGAATCTAGTACAACCCTAAGAACACTGGGAGTAAGCTCCACTGAGCAGTCCTGCTTAGGACTGATCTGTACAGACACAGGCCTTACACTGGGGGCAATTAAACAAGCTGTGCAAAGGCTGGAGAGTTCCTCAGCAGTGGAGGGGGTGTCAAGGGTAACTTTCTAAATGCCCTCATAGTACAGACCTTGTACCCCAAGGAGGGGACACACAGATCTTGCTAATATGCACAGTTATAGAATTTCTCTTTCAAAGAGGGTTATGAGGTCTCCATCTCCAACTGAAAACTGCAAAAAGAAATGAGTCACATTCTTGACACAATGCTGCACACATGTGAGCGTATGAAGCATGAATTGCGAATCATTGTCAATTCTTGCAATTTTATCGCAAATATCATGATCCACAATAAAAGATTTTGACATATTTGATAAAAATAGACATTTGTAGCCCATTTAAACAAGTGCACGTAGCACTGAGAACGGAAGTAATCTGCATCTCTTTTTACATGCACTTCAAAGGACGAGACATGTAGTGCTCAGTGTGGCAGCCATGGATCTTGAGGATGCTCAGATTTCCCCAAAGTAGGTTCAATGGACTCCTGCCAGAACTCAAATATTAAAAAAAACAAAATAAAGGTCACCCTGGCAGTTGGAGTATGACTGTGTGCACACATCTGTTCCCAAGTGTGTTGGGGATAGGGATGCCAAGCGCCAGGTGGGTCATGTATAACTTAGCATCACATAAGTCTCCAAATATTTCTCAGATATACAATAGTATTCAATACATGAGATACAAGAAATACAATAGATAGGCGGGAGATTTAAAGCAATATCTAACATTTATTATTTGACCCTCCCGAAGGAGAGACTTCACAGATTCCAATTTCACAATTTTTTGTTGTTCAGTCGCACAGTCGAGTCTGACTCTTCGTGACCCCATGGACCAGATCACGCCAGGCCTTCCTGTCTTCCGCCGTCCTCTGAAGTTTGCTCAATTTCATGTTCGTTGCATCTATGACACTGTCCAACTATCTCATCCTTTGCCGTCCCCGTCTTCTTTGACCTTCAATCTTTCCCAGCATCAGGATCTTCTCCAGTGAGTGCTCCCTTCTCATTTGGTGGCCAAAGTATTTGAGCTTCAGTTTCATTATCTGGCCTTCCAGGGAACAGTCAGGGTTGATTTCTTTGAGGATCGACTGATTTGATCTTCTTGCCCACTCCAGTATTTTTGCCAAGAAAACCCCATGCCAAGGAATTTCACAATTACAATGGACTTAAACAACATGATCTTTATATGTCCATGAAGCAAGTACATCCACTTCTTTAGACTTAAGATAAACAATATAAGGTATGTTTCAATCAGCAAGTAGATCCAGTCCTTAGGACTTGAGGCAAATAATAAGAAATAGGCTGCAGCCAACTCATCCTCCAGATTATTCAATGAGTTTTCGATTCCTTCATCAGGACTGCAAATGGGGACTCCCAAAGAGGCACAGCCACAGGAACTTCTCAGCCAATAACGCCTTCAAACTGTCTTACTTTACAGCAATGTCTCAAGACTACTACCTTATTTTCCTTTATTCATGATGCATAAGTATAGCCAGACTGTAATGTATTCAGATGCTGCCCTGAATGCATGGGGATGAAGTGTGAATCATCCCATAGAGAAGCTATGCTAAGCTTCGAACATTGGCTAGGATTCGCGCCGAAAAGTATTGTGTCCTATCACATTTGAACTGTCTGTGGTGGGAACGTTTGTGATTGGGCTATTATGCGAACAACCTGATAGGTTGGTACTTGTATAGTAGGTGTGGCTACATTAGCCCGGAATGTTTAAATACCGAGCAGCTGCAATGGAAAGCTGTTCGGGCTATGAGGAGTTGTACCGTGTTGGAGAAGTCGATTATCGAGCTGAATAAACCTGAGTTTTGCTGACATCACTCTCTGACTTATTGTTAAGCGCCGAACTTAACACAGACTCTGTAGGTGTTTCTTCCATCTAAATGAACGTAAAGAGCCGTCTTTACTGAGAAGTTCCTGTGGCTGTGCCTCCCTATTTGCAATCCTGATGAAGGAATCAAAAACTCATTGAATAATCTGGAGGATGAGTTGATTATTTGTCTCAAGTCCTAAGGACTGGATCTGCTTGCTGATTGAAACATACCTTATATGGGCCCCGGTCACACGGCAAAGTTGCCGTGGGAGAGGCACAGGAGTCCCGCAGATTTTCCGGGACTCACCCCAACATCTGGGAAGCGCAGTGCTCCTGTGGCAAACCCGTGGCTCCCCGCCGAAGGTGCGGAGTTAAAAACTAGTACCTACGAGGTACTAGTTTCCTGAAACCGCGGGCCAAGGGCGGGCGTCTGATCACGTTCCTGGTGGACGTACGTGGCATCCGGCTTCATGGACATTGTACTTGCTTCATGGACATATAAAGATCATGTTGTTTGTCCATTGTAATTGTGAAATTGGAATCTGTGACGTCTCTCCTTTGGGAGGGTCAAATAGTAAATGTTAGATATTGCTTTAAATCTCCAGCCTATCTATTGTATTTCTTGTATCTCATGTATTGAATTCTATTGCATACCTGAGAAATATTTGGAGACTTCTGTGATGCTAAGGTATACATGATTTACATTTATTCATCTATTTCCTTAAGTTAGTGTTAGTTAAGCTCCAGGTGGGGCCTGGCGCTCTCCCAGAACTGCAGCTGATCTCCAGACTACAGAGGAAAGGCCAGCGGCAGGTGTAGACTCTCCATGGCATCATACCCTGCTGAGGTCCCTCTTGCAAACCCCGCCCTCCCCTGGCTGCACCCCCAAATCTCCAGGAATTTTCCATCCTGAAACTGGCAACCTTATTTGGGGAAGAGGTTCTATCCAGTGATTCATATCGAGACTGAGAATGGTCAGATCTTAAACCTGCTTACTTTTTGGTTCGGGTGGGTCGCCACGTTGGTCTGAAGCGGCAGAACAAAGTCTGAGTCCAGTGGCACCAACACGAAAGCTCAGGCCAGGAACAAAACTTTGATGGTGGTCTTCAAGGTGCCCCTGGCTCAAACTTTGTTTTGCTTGTTTTCTGAGAGAGATGTGGACTCTTGAGTCTGATCTAATCTCTGCCATGAAGGGGTCTGACTCATGGGGCTACCAGTCTCCAGTGGGGCCTGGAGATCTAGAATTTCAGCTCATCTCCAGTCTATAGAGATCAGTTCTCCTGGAGAAAATGGCTGCTTTGGAGGATGGACTCTATGGCACTGTGGGCCCTGCTGAGGTTCCTCCCCACAAAACACATCCGATCACATCTCCAGTTCCCAATCGGAAGCCTTGCTGGGCTGGGCAAAAGCCTCACCTGGCCCTGCCCACTTGCTAACAA